GATTAGGCCCGGATAAGCACAAAATCTCAAAATCGAGTTTGTGCCCGAACACTGCCTTTAAGGAATAAGGCAAAGTGAGGATATGGAAGCTTAGACGGCAGATGGGTTCTTCCGCAGACGGGCCAAGATACAGGTGATTTTGATAGCCAAGTCTTCCACTCTAGGAAAAAACAAAATTTCGTAAGCAAATTTTCAGTGAGTACTGCGTCTTTTCCGTCTTTATCATCCCCTCCCTTCACCCATGTCGCTAGCATAACTTTCCTCTTTATGCGCATCTACCCAACTACCCATAATTTGTTGCAATGTGATTCGAACGAGTACTCCTCTTACCCCGATTAAGCGCATGCAGCCCAAAAAAAAGAAAATTCACTGCCTTACTGAGATGTGTTATGTAAAAGCATTGCGTCCGTACATTACCTTCCTACTACCAAACAGTTTACTTTTGGTTAGTACTTCAAACTCACATCAAATGTCACTTTGGTGTCTTTGCCAAGTTCGACATTTCGCTTTGGTCCCATCAACTCGTCGAGCATAGCCGCCATAGCGTTACGCGCCGACATGGTTGAATCACCGTGCTTTTCTGTAAGTCTAAATGACAAAGCATGAAACTGCAATGAGAACAGCATAAGATAGAATAATGCACGACAACGCTAAGATAGGCCTAATTTCGCAAATCAGAGCTGATTTCTTGAAAGGAGAGTGTAATAAGAGCCAAGAACGAGCGCGCAAACCTACGACTTCTATAAATCCCAATGAAATTTGAACGTGAAGACAGACCTGTCACAACTTATGATGAAAGAAAATAATATCAGACGATGAATAACCTACAAGTATGCAAAATACGAAAGCGATGTTGTTTTTCAAAAAAGAAAACATAAGAGCTCCGACGAAACGCCGTCTCAACATAAACGTGCAGCGCGTGAAACTTTGTCTCGACGTATTGTCGTTGGATTAATTGAAAGGCTTGTAAACAACGTACTCAGCGCGGCAACATATGGGGAGTAAGCACGTGACGCATCTTTTCAAACACAAATTAGAGCGCACTGAGATGGATCGCGTACTTGTACTGGGCGGAGATTGTGCCGTCGCAGCAAATCGATCTCAAAGAGCCTATCATTACGTGCACTCAAAATGATATTCTCCGTCCACGTGAATGTATTAATAATCGCGTTCTTGATCCTCTTGAAATCTGCTTTGATGTGATCTTTTCCGTGAAGCACAAGCTATCTAGCTGTCTATACTCGAATCATTTCATATGATCTTGTGTGTCACTGCACACAC